GTAAACTATATTATTTGTAATAAATTTTAAATATAATTTATATATTTAAAAATATTTATTTATACAAATTTTAAATATAATTATATATTTAAACATAATATTTTTTTTTATATAATTTATTATAAATTTTACTTGTATATAATAAATATTTCACCAATACATTACACAAATTAAAATATTATTACTTTCTTAGAACAAAATACAAATAGTCAAACGAAATCATTAAAGAAAATTATCATCGCTATAACTTTAAAAATGGTTTGTTGACAAACCCCCTATGGAAAATATTGTACAAAGAAGGAAATTATGATCACTATAATTTCAAAAATGATTTGTTGACAAATCCGTAGCTAAAATATTGCAAAACAAGGGAGTGAACACACAAGTAGGAGGAAGGGTAAGTGTGAAACAGAAACACAAATGTGATCTTTTAAATAAAGAGAAAAGATAGAAAGTTATTTAAGTAAATACAAATAAGAAAAAAGGAAGTTCATTTAGCAAACACGGGAGAGTTTAAATAGAAAATCCCTAAGAATTTGTTTGAATAAAAAATTAAAATGAAATAATTTATTTATTTGAAGAATTTCAAATTTTTTTAAAATGAAATATTTTATTTGAATGAAAAATTTATAAAAAATTTAAAATATAAATATTTGTAAAATTTATTAAAATAATAGATTTTTTAACTCCAAGCGTGTGGTTCAGAGGTAAGGGTTGATCCACGCTTAAGCAAAGTCAGTGGTTCAAATCCTGCCTTGTGTATGCAGTCGCGTTAAATCTGGGGGTCAGCTACCCCACCCTTTGAGGTGCCTCCAACGTAGCGAGAAGATTAGCCACTGCTATCGGCAAAAAAAATAATAAATTTTTAAATTATTTTAAAATAAATAAATAAAAAATTTTTATATCTTTTTTATTTTATTTATATATTTTATCTTATCTCGTTGTATTTTTAATTATTAAATATTCAAAAATATTTTAAAAATTATTAATTATTTAATATTGTTAAATTTTTAAATACTAATTAATATTTATTTTTATAAAATTTAATTTAAAAATTTCAATATATAAATATATTTTTAAAATTCATTTTACTATGATAACATCAAATTATAATATTTAAACTAAAAATTCAAAATTAAAAAAATTTAATTAATTAATTTAAATAAATTTTTTAAAAATAATAAAAATTAAAATCAAAATAATTTAAATATTAAAAATTTTAAAATTTCTCATCCAAACATATCATAAATGCATTTATATAGGAAGGTTGATGATAAACACACCTCCACTCTCGTATAAGCACACCTCATTTTTTTAAAAATATATATAAAATGTCTAAATTACCCTTAAAAAAATGAAATTCCTAAATTTACATCCCCTTCCCCGCACCCCCCTTTCCCGCATCCCACACCCCCCTTCCCCGCATCCCACACCCCCCTTCCCCGCATCCTAACACCTCCACTCTCGTATAAGCACACTCCTTCCCCGCACCCCCTTCCCTGCACCTTTTCCAAATTGTGTTTGAGAAATTAGGTG